AATAACAAAGATGAATCTCTTTTAAATATTTCATATGTGTTAACATAAGAAGTGTGAATGCACATTTTGACTAGCTGCTTTCATTTTTAGAAAATGATGTAAATAATAAAAAAAATGATGTTATAGTTTTAACTGAGGCGTGACATGACTCACTGTTTTGTCCCTATATGATACCTGTTTATAGTATATTGTTTTCTAGTACAAATAGAAACCAAAATTATGGTATAATAATTTTTGTGAAAAATTATCTAAATGTGGATTTTTATGACTATGATTTTTTAGAATATAATATTGTAAAACTATCGCTGGTAATCAACAATTTGCCCATAACTGTTGTATGTATAAAGAATTTAAATAACTGTCAGTAGTTTGTTTTAATAATATATAATTATCATTTTTACGCAGCTTAAATGTTGTGTATTGATCAGCTTTTACTAAGTCAATTTGTATATCCTAGGTTGTACACAACGTGTTTAGTAAAAGCCCGAATACAATTTAGAATTTCAGCATTTACTGAGTACAAACAGTAAAACCTAGCATTAACTAGTAAAACCTAGGTTTACCTAGTGATCGGGCATTTACGGTAACATATATACAGATCAGCCTCGTCTGACTGTATAGGTTTCATTAATTCATTAAAATATGTTTTTAATAATTTAAATGTAAATTCAGGTGTAATTGCCTTAATTGGGGACATGAATATTAACATAATTGGTGCACGAACAGTTAATAATTATGGTTACCTAGACCTTTTGTCAGAAAGCGGTTTCTGTTCTTTTATAAATGTATTTACAAGATTACCAATAGATCAACAACATTCCTGTTTAGATCACATGTTCATTAAAGACAATAATAATTCATCCTGGAATATTAATCATAACTACGTATATGAAGTTATCAATAAATAAGATTACTAATGACGACTTTCCTTTAATAATTCACAATTGCCAAAATCAATTGATATGCAATATGCAAAACTGAAATCAAATTAATCAAGTTTCAAGAATACGCTATCTGGGTATTATTTTTGATAATAATTTGAGGTGGAATTTCGATACCCATAATTTAGTAGGTAGGGAAACTGCGATATACATTGCACAAATTAATTTTACTAAAAGATATCTTACCTGCAGTATAAATTTTGCGTAGGTACCATTTATTTTGCGTTCTATCAGTCCATCTGTCAATATGGCCATTAGTATGGGGAGGTGTAAAAGAAAATGTTTTAAAAATTCTTCAAACAAATCAAAATAATATATTAAGAATAATACTAAATATAAAATCTTTAGTAGGTTCAACAAAAGTGAATTACATAAAATTAGGTGTGCTTCCAATAAGATACCTACCTATACAAGAAGTTAGCAATTTTATTTACAATAAAAAACTTAATTAATTTCAATAACAATAACAGACACTTAGGAGAACATATAGCCTATAATTTTCCAGTAAAATATAAGAAAAAATCCTTTGTCAATCTTTTGTTGACTATTTAGGTTCTACTTATTTTAATCAGATGCCGACATTATACAAAAAAAAATATTCATGGAGGTCTAGTTAATGAGAAAAAAGTCGTCTATAAATGGCTGTTCGCAGAATTATTTACTCCTTAAATAAGTGTCCGCATTTCAGTAATTTCAGTAATTATGATTTTTATTTTAATCTGATTTGTTTATTAATATTATTAATATTAACTACGAATTTTTAAAGAACGAATATTTTGAATCTTGCTACGTTTCTCTCTTATATTTTTATATGATGTCGTTTGTTTCTCTTATATATTATTGTATTGTACTGTAAACTTTAACTGGTCAGTTTAATGTAACTGATTTTGTATTTTTATTTTATATTTTATTTTATGTATACTTATTGAGAACTTTTGTTTCTTTTTGCAAAAGGATGTACCTACCTAAACATTTTTTTTTGTTTTATTCTAATGTTGCTATTTAAATTACTATTGTTAACTCTACTCCATCACAAGCCTAGGCTTAAATGAGCAGATATATTTCTTTATTTATACGATTTATTGTACATATAGATAAAAAAATATAAAAAAAAAAATATAAATTCAACTTAAATGTCCAGACTGACAAACCGTCTCCACTCAGAATTGTTTTTCTTATACAATGATATTATATCATTGAATTCAAGTTTAATACAATTCTTTATACATTGACCCGCTTGTAACCTAGTGTACAGCAGAGTGACATCCACTTACCCACTTTTTTCAATTTTCAATTAATATGAAAAACAAAATTCTACCAGTATCTCTGAATAAATAGGCTGAATTTGATCGTTAAGTCATCACGAACTGTTAATTTATCGTTATATTCTAGCTCTCTCGCTGATATAATATCGCTGAAGTAATATCAGTGAAGTAATATCAGTGATATTACTTCATCAATTGATACCTACATATTCTTTGTGAATAAATATTAATCTTACGTCATTGCCCAATACAATCTGAGGAAATAAAATGTATTTTCAGTGGCAGCGGGATATAGGATTATTTGAAGAAATTGCTTCATGTTTGAAATGGGTGGGTGGGTGTATAAATATATATATCATCGTAAGACCTCAACAAAAATATGGCAAATATTATAATTAATAATTATTAATGGCCCCTGCTGCTAATTTTGGTTCAATGAAGGGTACAGTGGTAAAAATATTTAAAATATACAATATGCTTCAGAGCCTACAAAATTTTCTCGCCGCCACTGTGTATTTTTGTAATTAAAATTGATTAAGATCAGGGACCTCGAGAAATAAAAAACAAGTTATTGGCCGCTAAGAACATATAAAAAGAAAGAACTTACATGAGTTGGCCCCCCTCAATTGATTACAATTTGTCTGACAAAAATTGCACAATTAATTGTAAATAATTGTAATTAAAACCACAAATTTGTAAATCATCAGGGACTGCCAGAAATAAAAAACTTGTTGTGCGGATGGGGTGAAAATCGATTTGGTGCATAGGAGCAATTTCAATAAGAAAACCGAAGGTGCTTAAGCTCTGCATTTTCTGGGCATTTAAATTAAATTATATCTATGAGGATTTTATGACTTTTTTGAGCAAAAATGTTTTATGACAATTTAACATTGAATACTTATAGTGTATAAAGTACATTTTATAAAAATTAATTCAATACTCAACAGTCAATTTTAATTTATTAAAAATTGAAAACAACTTTTTTATATTTTATTCAAAAAATATGACAAATAAATATTAGTAGGTACCTATATACAATGTGTAACAGAAATACTTGACGAAAAAAAACGACGCTAGGTACCTACTTAAGCGTATGACAAAATTTTTTAAATTATACGATAAGCAAATAATTTAAGAATTAATGAAATCATAAAAAAAATATTTTGAAAAAATTTATTACATTCTAAATTAATTAAATCAAAAAAATATTGATATTTCTAATTTTCTAAAAAATAAACTACTTGACTTCGATAAATGTTTTTACTAGCAAAATTTTTCTTATAATCAGATTCACCAATTGGCTATTTTGAATATATCCAAATAAATTTAAATCAAATTATAATTTTTTTTATTTTAAATGATAAAAATAAAAAAAAAATTTACATAATATATGTGTAGCACAGGTGACTATAAATTGTATATAAAAAAAACATTATAAATATTGATTAGAACAAAAGTTATTCCAAATTTCGGTTCTATCTGTTACACCCTGTATAGGATATTATACTATATAATACCATACACGATCACACAGACTGTCGGAAACTTGGAACTCATAAGTGAACACCAACGGACAAGTGATTCGTATATCGCAGTTAGGTTTTTGTCCGAATTAGATGTGGGCACGGGAATGTTTATAATTTATATTAGTAAATATTCGCGATACTAAAGTCGCTACTCTCTGCTGAACGTGATAACTGATAATAATATACCGACCACAACAACCGGGTTTAGTAGAAATATTGGGAAAAAATAATTAATGTTCTAAATAGATTTTGATTCGATAAAATGACAATTGTCGAGTTAATTATTTCATTCGTTATACTTTGATGCCCTGATGTCTGATGATAAACTGTTTTAGGTTTTTTTTTTTGTAAGGAGAAGTTTTGAAACAAAAGACATAAAAACTATTAGCGGGGGCTAATTTTAAAATTGGGGGTGCTAATACTCCCTAAGCCCTCTCCCCTATTTGAGCCTTTGGTGACTATACACACCACTACAATTTACATTTGAATGGTAACTGCATATATTATATTCACTACTATAACATAAGCGACAAGCGTTAGTGTAGCAATTTCCAGCTGTATAGGAAACCACAGTAGTAACTGTATCGATTTTTAGGGTTCCGTACGGTAAAACGGGACCCTATTACTAAGGCTCTGCTGTTCGTCCGTCTGTCGACTGTCACCAGGCTGTATCTCATGAACCATGAAATTTAGAAAGTTGAAATGTCTACAGATTATGTATTTCTGTTGCCGATATAATAACAAATACTAAAAATCCTAGAACATATAATATAAACAGTGTTGCCAACATGTTTATAGCTGAGGGTGGTACGGAACCCTTCGTGCGCGAGTACGACTCGGCCTTGGTCGGTTTTTTTCTGTAGACGCCTTACAAGATTCATTGGGTAACCCATAGAGTAATAATATATAATATATATTAATAATATAATATAATATATATCGGGGTAACCCGATTTTAAGTTTTTATAAAATTCAGTATGGAGGAGAAATCACCAGAAGTTACCGTTTACTCCATGACAAACGCGATGTATATTTTATGAAATCTGTAGATAACAATGTAATCAATAATGACTTGGTACAAAGTGTGTTACTGAGGCAGATTATCCGATTATAATGATTTCAATTAAAATAAATTAACAGTGAATACGCATAAACAAGTACTTTATTTTAAAATGTAATTTGTTATTTATTATTACACAAGTGAACTTTGATAGCGGTTATTTGGTGATTGGGGGTAAGTACTTATACCGTTTTTTTCTGGCTTGCAGATGGCCTCCAAATCGTTTCCCAAAGCGGAAATCAAAAAATTTCTGTGTATACAAAGTAATCCAACGAAATGGAAGGGGCTGTTGGTTGGATCGTTAACGAAAATCGTCGATCAAGTGCACCCATTGTTAGCAGTCAGCGACGAAGCATTAGAATATGTCGAAATGCTTATTGTACAATGTCTGGAGATACTCACGTTAAGGTCATCACCACCGCACACTGTATTGGACATCGAAGATCAAGTGAAACGATGGTTTCCTAAGCCATTAGACAAGTGGGCTATTAAAGATGCAAACGAAGCAATAGAAAAAAGCAAGAAAAAACACCATTTAATATTACCAACCGATAAAATTAATAATTTTGTGCAAAAGGAACTACTCCAATACAAGTTAGACTATCCGGTGGCTCTTTACATAACAGCTGTTTTGGAATACATGGCAGCAGACATTTTAAAATTAGCTGGTAACTATGTAAAAAATATACACCATGTAGAAATCAGTTATCAAGACCTATGTGTTGCGATATGTGGCGATAAAGTATTAATGGACTTGTTTAGCCAGCATGACAACAATGGTGACTTGAATCTGTCTGAATTAAGTATTGATAAAATCCAAAGAATCACTACTTATGAAGAAGTCATAAGAGATCTGATGCATGATGAAAAACAACTTGTTAGAGATTTATATTTAATTTTAAAAGTGTTCAAAGAAGAAATCAATCGCGCCATTCCTGTAGGTACCTGTCAAGAATTGGATAATATGTTTTACAATATTGCAGAAATATGTAAGACTACTAGATTATTTTTAAGTTCTATTGAAGACATATTGGAAATATCAGACGATAAATTTACCACGGTTGGTTGTTGTATTGAAGAATTCGCTGAAGCCGCTGAATTTGATGTGTTTGAATCGTATGCAAATGATATTGTAAATAAACAATGTAGGAATATATTTTGGAATTTAATCAGTAAACCAGAAGTTTCTAATTCACTTCAATCGACTGGTTTTAAAGAAGCTCTAAAATATTATTTTCCAAAATTGTTACTTTTACCCATATGGCATTGTATTCTCTATTTTGATTATTTTAAAATTTTGCATCAACTTTCTCCTTCCCAGCATGATAAAGAATGTTTGGAACAAGCAGAAGGCATGTTTAAACCTTTGCAATTAAAAATGATATCAGTTGCAAATCAAATTAACTTAAAAGATAATGTCAAAGAATTTGGACTTAAAATTAATGCAACACCTAGACGATTGTTAGCCATTGAAAAACTGCAAAATATGCAAAAAACTATTGATGGCTGGGATGGTAAAGATATGGGTCAGTGTTGTACAGAGTTCATAAGAGAAGGAATACTTTTAAAAGTTTCAAGCGGAGGTAAACGTTGTTCAGAGCGTAAAGCAATCTTATTTGATGGTGTTCTTATTTTATGTAAATTAAATAGCAAAAAGACTTCTGCATTAGTCAGCTCTCAACTTGTTGGTAACTTGTCTGAATTCAAATTCAAATTAAAAGAAAAATTATTTATTAGAAAAGTGGACATTTTTGATAGAGATGATACAGACGAGACAAAACACTTTTTTGATATATTCCCTCTTTTAGAGCAACCAGTAACATTAGTTGCTAGGACTTTTGAAGATAAAGCTAATTGGATGGCGGATTTACTTATGCTGACCTCAAAAAGTATACTAGACAGAACTTTAAACAATATACTACTAGATGAAGAAAAAAAAATTCCCTTGAGGTTACCTTCAGTTGAAGAATACAGATTTGTTGAACCTGATTCTCGATCCAACATCATTTTTGAAGAAAAAGAAAATAATGGTGTTCCTCTTATTAAAGGTGCTATATTGCTGAAACTTATAGAACGATTGACATATCATATTTATGCTGATCCAAAATTTGTAAAAACTTTTTTAACAACATATCGCAGTTTTTGTTCACCTCATGATTTAATGAATCTCCTAATTGAAAGATACAAGATTCCTGAGCCTTTTGGTATAACTCTGAATTCAGAAAGTCTTCGAGATGAAACTAAGCGATTTAAAAAAGAATATTTAATACCTGTTCAATTTAGAGTGTTAAATGTGTTTAGGCATTGGGTCAACTATCACTATTACGATTATCAATGCTATCCATATTTATTAGATAAATTGTATGAATTTTTAGATTCAATCAATGGGAAATCAATCAAAAAATGGGCTGATTCACTTATTAAAATAATTAATAGAAAAACTTCTGAATCTCAAAAAAAAATTAAGTTTGCATTTGATTCACCACCGCCAGCAATCGAAGTTCATATGGACTTCAATGGAAATGACAAGTTTAACATTCTACTTGTACATCCTCTTGAGTTTGCAAGACAATTAACACTTATTGAATCTGAAAATTATAGAGCAGTTAAACCTTCAGAGTTGGTTGGATCTGTGTGGACTAAAAAGGATAAAGAAATAAATTCTCCAAATTTACTTCGGTTAATCAAACGTACTACAAATTTTAGTCGTTGGATTGAAAAAAGTGTTGTGGAATGTGAAAATATTGAAGAGAGAGTAGCAACTGTGTCTAGATTTATTGAAGTAATGATGGCATTATATCAACTAAATAATTTCAATGGTGTCTTAGGTGTTTTTTCAGCTATGAGTTCGGCTGCAGTATTTCGTCTAAAATTTACAATGCAATCTATCAATGCTAAACTTGATAAAGCGCTAGAAGAAGCTCGTGATTTGAATAGTAATCATTTTAAAAAATATCAAGATAAATTAAGAAGTATAAATCCACCATGTGTTCCATTCATTGGTATGTATTTAACAAATATATTGCATATTGAAGAAGGTAATCCAGATTGTTTGACAAACAATCCAAGTTTAATTAATTTTAATAAACGAAGAAAAGTGGCAGAAATTATTGGAGAAATCCAGCAATATCAAAATCAACCTTACTGTTTAAATGTCGAGCCTAAAATAAAAAAGTTTTTAGAGAACTTAAATCCATTCAATGATATGAAAGATACAGATATTAGTAACTATTTGTATAATAAATCTTTAGAAATTGAACCAAGAAATTGCAAACAACTTCCTAAGTATCCACGAAAATGGCCAGACTTAAATCTTAAGTCACCTGGCTTAAAGCCTAAATCACGAGTACCATCAGTATCTTCCAAAGACATGGATGTCCAAGGTAAAAGACATTTAAGTTCATCAAGTTCTCCTGTTATTAGAATGGATAAAAGAGATCTAGATGATTCTGTCTTTGCACCAGTAACATTTACTTTTGGAAAAAATAGCCTTGTTCCTCCAGTTCCACCTCGACTGAGTAAAATTAATGATGAATCAATCGCACCACCTTTACATCCAAGAAAAATAGGTCCACCTTTACCTCCAAGAACATTACAAGTAGGTTTTGTATTTGTTCAGACTTCTATAGACCCAACCAAACCAGGAATTAACCAAGATTTTAATTTTAAGAAAACCCTTGAACCTAATCCTAGTAAAATAGATCCGAAAACAGATGCAGTTAATTTTCTTGAAAGTGATGATACTTTAGAATCTTACCACCATTCCTTAAATAGATATTTGTATAATACTCTAGATTACTATGAAAACGGTTGTACTAAAAAAAAGGACTCATAATTTCCAATTCATTGATTAAATGCCAAAGACTATTTTTTATAGGTAATGTAAATCAGTATATTAAGTACCTGTTATTAAATAATGGCCATATTCTAATTTAATTTTATATATGTATCCAGACAAATTATATTTTAGTTAACTTAAGTAATGACTATAGTTTTCCCCCACAAACTTGTGATATGCTTCCCCAAATTCTGGATAAAACATATATATATAGGTGCTTGAGTTTTATTACTATACCCTGTATACATTTTACTCTTTAAAATTATAAAAAATAATTCTTTTCTACTGAAGTTAATTCTTCTCCTGCAACTTTTTTATACTTTTATTTTTATGTTTTAGTCCATTTTATATAAGCTGTATTGTCCTGTGAATGTCATTTTTACATTTGTAATTCCAAAACATCAACGTTTGATTATATAATGTAGATTAAAAACCAATTGCATATTGCCCGTGATAACTGATAACCTGTGTATACATTGACTTGAATATTTATTATTCTTACAAAGCTACAAACCATACAGATTTACAAATTTTGTAATACCCATTGAATTATTGTAATATTGTGAAAGTATTTACCTAAGACATAACTAATATATATATATTGTACATGTATTTTAATATATAAATACTTTAACATTATTTCTACTGTGTTTGGTATTCGTGTAGTATCTTCATAAGATATTAGACTATAATAATAATATATAATATGTTTATAACAATTAACATTAATATATTTATATTAATTTTTCATTTTAAATTATATTTATTATTAAATATGTGATTGTGATAGCAGTTTTTATTTAGTATACAATATTTAAATATTAAATAAATTATGTTATGTATGTTGATCAAAATCTACAGTATAGCAAACATGTGTATGTAATATGTTAATATGCATATAATGTATCATGTATGATGTATTATAAGTAGATATTAATTGTGGATCTTTAAAAAAAAGTATGTATTTATTGTAGATCATATAATTGTTTAGAATTATTATCCACAATATAATATCATTATTTTTAAGAATAAAATTAATTAACAAAATTATAAAAATGTTTGACGATTTACCTATGTTTAGTTTTAATACCTACTGTTAGTGGTTAATTGATAAACACCACTATATGTTGAACATTGTTGGATCGAGTATAGAACTATTATATTTGTATTTAATAAATCATACTAAATTGTTATATTATATTGAATGAATGAGTAAAGTTTTTTTTCATCTGATAATATAATTTGTTTTAGTCATACAATTTATAGGCACTTTAAGGCATAATTTTTATTGTCTAGATTACAAAAATAATAGTAAATATCTACTTAGTTGACCAAGTAATTGTATGAATTATTTTATGAAATAAAATGTTAATTATACTATTTAAAACTGTTTTTAGTTTAAAATTCAGTCTTCCTACATCTACAATTTACTTTTTACTGTTCTATGTTATACATTATGTTTTCGTTATTTAATTATTCCAATGAAATAGGAGGCTTATTAAACAATTGAATAGAATAACAGTAGCTACTTTCCATTTTGTATTTTTATAATATATGTCATTGCTGGTTACTAGTTCCTACCTACTACAAATACTTGTTGAAGTAGCACTGTTGGACTGTGCAGTAATATACATAATTACAATCATATAAAATCAGGGGTGCAAATAGGTAGTTATTCAAAAGTATAGCGCTTTTTCAATCTCTTAAATCTTAACATACGCCTCTGATCGGTACTGGTTTAGTTGACCCCCACCAAGAAAGTATTTTCCTACCAATTAGGTTTAGTTGATGCCTGCCACATCTATAGTATTTTTGAAATTCTAATCATCATATTGTATTTACAGTTTATACATTTAAAATTAAAATAATAAGTACAAAAGTACTTATAAACTTTAATAGTTTAATCAATGATGAAATACAATAAAATAATAAAATAATTTTATTCAAACAAAAAATCAACTTAATGTGACTGCAATTTATATTTAATAACAAATGATTAGATCATTGAAAATATATGAGATTTGAGTGACGGGAGAATACTTTCTTAGAGGGCAACTAGATCAGTACTGATATATTTTTATGTTTTAACCTAGACATTAAAACAATAAAATTGTTATAATTCTTATAATATTACTTGCCATTGTGTAAATAGTAAACAATAAGGTATGTAAAGAATAGGTACCTTCATAAAACTGTATCCAGGAATGTGAAATAAATAAACAATATTTCAAACTGGATTTAGAAAGTACATTTAACTGATTCTCTTAATTTTATTAATATTAAAACTTTGAGTGTTTCCACAAATATGGCAAAATTGACTGGATGATCAGGTCATTGAGTTACATAACTGAATACATAATAAAATATTTTATATGAAATTATGATAATTTAATTATTACACAAATATTACTTTTCCATCGTTCATTGAAAATATGAATACATGTTCAAATGTATAATTCACAGAGTTGTGTTGCCTAATATTTCAGCCACCTATGGATTATTAATTGTATTTACATTAGCATTAACTTCTCTCAATGTGTTATAAACTTACTGCTTCATTTACAAAAACAAGTGTGGACGTTGTTTGATGAATTTGTCTAGCACTTATTTTTGTCTATTATACAATGCATCTTGAATACTAGATAAATACTTACAAAAACATGAAAAGACCATTGTTGTTTATGGATTATAATTATTCTAAAGTTTTAGCTGTAGTGTATTTATAAAGTTTAGTCTCTAATATATTATAAATATGTACTGCCATTATCAGCTTTTATTGTGTAGAAAGTTAGTCTTGAAGTTAGCTGAATGGTGGAAATTGTCTTTGGAGCGCTAGTGGTGATCGTCGCCAATAGCATCTGCCTACTTCGACGAGCACTGTCGATCGCTGAACACCGCCGACCAATCACTGTTGCTTGGTTGATTTACTTGGCGAATTAGATGTTTCAAATTCCTGAAAAATTATAAAATTTTATTAGTGGAAAATATGTATTGAAAAATTCAAAGTTTAACTCACTCGTATATGATGATTAAGTTTGTTGAATTCTCAATCAAATGGTATGTTTTCACTGCTACATCAATGTTGGTACTATTTTCAATTGTTTAGATTGGTATATGTCTATAATTGTACATATTCTCCTATTTCACCATTATCAATGCTTCGTGAAATTTTACAATTAATTTTGGTGATTATTTAACCATTTAGTAATTATATTTGGATTATTAAAATCTATTTATCTTCTTCTCATCTATCTATACAAAACAGTGTATAGATTAGGGTAGTTGAATGAGTCGCTCTTTGAATACATTTACACTGCATTATTGCCATTGCTAGTTGTTTCATTTTGTTCACTAGAAATAAAACAACATTAAGAATCAAGAAAAAAAAAATTATGATAAATTGTATGTAGTACATCCAAAATTTAAAGACATTATCCACAAAGAATTATTATGAAAAATCATATAATTCTATTATAATTATTATTATATTAATCATTTTTCCCCTTTGTAAAATTTATTTCCTATTACCTACTTAATAAACACCGGGACTCGTATTTGCTCTCTTATCCACTAACCAGCCAAATGAATCAATTTTTTAATAAAAAAAATAATTAATTACCTAAGTTAAATTTGTTCTAAATTGCATTGTGTATAATTTATTTGTTCTTAAATCAGAAGCGGAAGGAAATCCGTTGCTAAACGAACTGACAACTGTGATTTGTTTCATAATAATGTTAGTTACTGATCTTAAATTTAGATGGTTGTGATTGACATATGAGACAGAATGGTTAACTGTTTCGTTCTATGAAAAATAACTCTTTATCCCAGACTAAATTGAATTCTCTATATTCTGCATCATACTAGCGTTTCTTAGATATGATTAATATTATGATGGTTTACTCACAATTTCGAACAGCAATATGAAGAAGGATCCACTCGTAGGTATTATATGAAGATAAATTAATTATTCCATATTTCCATACAAAATTTAATCTGACATAATTGTGCTTTATTTTAATAATATATTATATTGTCGCCACCTTGTCTACTATCATGGTATAGTTGTTATCACGGTAGATTATCTAGATATCGTGGTTGTTATGAAACGCACTAAAGTTTATCTTAGTTCATGCTAGGAAGTTAAAGTAGCAACCCTATCGATCGCAGCTTAATTGGAGACAAAAGCTGTAGAATATTTGTATAATTTATTTAATATGTCACTTATATTAGTATGAAAATATCACAATATTGTTACTATTTTTGACGAACTATGTGTAGCCGTGTAGGTACCTACTGTGTACCCAGGTACTTTTAATGTATTTATTTTATTCCAAAATTGTGTACAGTGATATTTACAATTACACTTGGTAAATAAATGTATAGGTATAAAATACCTAACCGAACCTGACCTACATATTTTTTCTCCCTGCATACTCAAAAAATATAATATAGCTAGCTTAATAAAACCAGAAATTTATTTTATGGGTAGGTATCTTTCTTCACAATGTTTGTGTTATAATTGTATTAATTAAAATAATGTGCCAATGTGGGACCACAAAACCACATCAAACATTCTTGGAAATTAAATATTAGTAAAATACATTTTTTTTTTTTTAATAAGTACTGAAAAATTATAAAACATAATATATAATAAACAACACTTATATACGACTGTTATATTTATTGTATTAAGAAGTCGGTGCAAATGTACACCCTGCCACCCCCTCCCCCAAATGATGCCCTTGTATTGCCGTGGTCAGCAACAATACGAGACGTAGTCCGGGTAGAGCATCCTACCCTTCCCTACCAAAGTCGTAGTTCGCCTCATTTCATTGGCCATTAAATTACCAGTCCAACATAGAGGGGCGAACCAGCTAATTTACGGGGTGAGGAGTGCCGAGTGGTCAGCGAACATGATGCGTATCTAAAAGTTGCTGACAAACCTATCTATTTTGTCATGGTCAAGGACTTAGATAAACTTAGTAAATCTTAGTCCG